TCCAAGCAAAATGCAAATGCTTACTTCAACTGCAGTTCTTAAAAAAAACCAACAAAACCAACAACCTCCAAACAAAGCATTCAAAAACATGTAAAATTAGACAGATTGAATTCTTAAAATCCTGCACTGTGTAAAAAATGTTTGGAAAAAGGTAAGCAATATAGGAAGAAAAAAAGCTCAAGCATCTCTAAGGACATATATAATCCAAATTATTTTATAACAGCAAGAGGTGAATAGGAAGAGATTTCCTAAAGATTTTCATAAACTCATTTGTCACAGCAAAAGTACATGACGATCTCAGCAGGATTCCAGCCAGAGATTTCTGACATGTTACAACTGCAAGAAGGCTTGCTTTTTCAGATATTTTGCATTTCCCCAGTAAAATCAGTAGAAGTTCACAGCATTCTGAAGCACCTATAAAGTTCTCACTAATGTAGAATAAGTCCCAGGGCTCAGAATTTTTATGGATTTCTTGTTTGGTTTAGATTCCTGTGTGGTGCAACTTTTAAATTTACTGTCTAAACACCTTGAAAGAAAAGAAATAAAATAGTTCAAATATTTTCTCAAATATTATAAAGAAGCTCCTGGAAACCAGTTTAATGAAGGAAGAAAGTTTGTCCAAAAAGAGCTCTCACATCCATCACCATCAACCTATGTATATGCACAGGCAAGAGAAGTAGCAGAGCTGAGATCCACTCAAAGTATTCCAACAAACTCATCACAGTATTGCATAGTATAAATGGGTTATCCATATCAGGTGATGATTAAGCAGATTTCAACATGACAATTTAAAATTAGTCAGCCAATGGCATTCTTTACCATGGTTTGGACCTTTATAAGATGATAATTTTCTCAATATAATAAAATAAGCCAATATTTACAAGCCAGAGTTATTTTCCAGCAAAGGGGAAATATATTCTTACATTATTCAAGAGTAAACAGGATTTAATCTTCTTCTGTAAAAGCTTAAAAAGAATTTTGAGGTAACCAAAAATTACTTTTTGGAGATTAAACAACTGGTGCATATGTAGACAGGTACAAGTCAGGTGTTTTAGATTTGATTGCCTATCTATCTCCCCTTTTTTCCACCAAATTCTTCAAAGCTAATGATATGTGGTCCATGTCTACAAAAATGCAGCTGTTTATTACTTCCACCTTTTAAATTGAGTACCTTTTGCTTAAATCCCTTAATTGGCAGAATCTAAGGTTCTGAGAATGGTAAATTATGACTATATGTGTACTGAGGATGAAGCTTTGATTCCTTCAGAACTTGCTGACAGAATAGAAGAAGCAAATCCAAAGACAAAAAGATGTAAGGGGATGAGAACAGACAAGCTGGAGAAGCTGATTCCAAAAGGAATGTTCGGAGGAAGTTTTCCACAAGGTGTTGAACTCTACCATAAGTATTTTAGCTTAACATTATGTGACAGGGAGACACAAGGATGGACTTATGGGCCCTACTAAATGAAAACTGAAATGAAATCAACGATCAGCATTTTATCTCTTACTTGAAAGCATTAAGATTTCTGCAGGAGGTTTCCAGGATGTGGCCAGTGCATATTATCCACAGGCATTTCTTTCTACGTGTGCCTGATGGCCAGTGTGAGCCCATGCATCAGTGCAGTTATTGGTGCATGGAAGAGTTCAGTTCTGTGCACTTGGCTCTGGTATGGATTCAGCAATGTTTTTGCTGCCAAGGTCACCTTTCTGATCACCTGCCAAGACCCACAGTCACTTGCTTTTTGCACTCTCTCTGAGTGACACCATCATTATCATCAGTTATAGAAGCACAGTAGCTGGGTCATTCATATCAAGTTCTTGAACTAAACACTTTGTAATAATTCCCTTGTTAATAGGCTCCAAAAATTTACAGCTGAAAAACATCCTATAAAACTTCACCAGTGTGTACGTCCATGCTTCCACCTTTTTTCACTTTGTATTTGGAACAGGCATGGAGCCATACTGGCAGACCACAAGCAAGAGTAAAGGAAACAAATGTCGAACCCAGCAAGTTGCCAGAGTGTCTCTGACACTCACGCCCATCCAAAGACTGATGCAGGAGAACAAAGCAGGTCTTTTACCACGACAAACAACAAACATGTGTCAAACAGAGAGATTCAATTCCCCTCTTCATGGTCTGATGTCTCTGGCCATGGAATAGATTGATTAATGACCTGTTTCATGGGTGTGCTTTGGTATCTATCTTATCCTACCACATGTGATGGATACACTATAACTGTAACACAGAGTTGAGCTGAAACTCATTGCAGGTGTGCTGTGGAATGTTATGTGACAATGGCACAGCTGAATATACTGAAAACACTTTGCAGAAGTTTTAATCCATAAGAGCTCTCTTTTATCTCAGAAACTTGCTCCACTACTCTCCAGCCCTGTTTATGCTGTGGAAGTTTGTAAAGGGCTTCATTGATTCCAGGCAGTTATAGGAGCTTTAGGATTCAACCCTCAGATACATAGATTCATAGCCACAGGCCTGTGCAATGTTACCAGAAGGTCTAAAAACCCTTTTAACTCTACAATAAGCTTCAACTCCCCTCTCTCATGATTCTGGCATTGCTATTTCCCACATGGCACTACAACTTCTCCCTGATCCTTCAGGAGAAACTCAGCACCTGGATGGATGGTGCCAGCTCTGCTCTGTGCCAAGGAGCTGGATGGAGGTCACAGAAGGATGAGAACAGAAACAGGGAAGGACAGCAGTAGCTCATCTGAGGCTGCAGTGGAGGACCTGGATCTGGGGCCTCTGGACCTCTCACTGTTGGGGTCTCTGGCAGCACCCAGTTCTGGCCATGGTGCCACAGCCAGTGGGTGGATGACCCTAACCCGTCCCTCCAGTCAATCTGGTGCTTGTGACATTTCAGGTACCCTGCCAGTGCTGGCCTTAGGTGCTGGAGTTAATGATACATGGAAGACTGAATGCAAAATAAAAATATCTAAGAGAAAAACCTGGCTAACTCTCACACTGGATTATCCACACCTGTCAAGGTGTGATGGAGGGAGGGGCAGTGTGCTCCCACCCACCCAGGTGAGGGGCAGAAGGTTGGATGCATTGCCTAGAGACTTGCACAGACTGGGCTATGACTGCTGAATCTACTTTCACCACCATTATAAGCCTAAATGCAAGAACATGTTAGCATGGATCCATCTAGAAGACAGATGGAAACAAAAGTCTGTCCCATGGGGTTCCTGAAGCCTAGTAAATGGGTGTTATAATAAGTGAGAGGTCCTCTGAGAGCTTCCAGCACCTGGAGAAGGTTAAGGAGAAGGGAAGTCTGGTTTTGTAGAGAGAAGTTCTTAGGAAAAGAGGAGTCTTCTGAGATACAATTCTTTGAACCAATATTAGCAAGACTAAGTGGTTCATGTGAACTCTTCAGCCCCAAGCCACTATTTTGAAGGTATTAATTGTTTTCCCCAACCACCTAGAAATCTGTAATTACAGTGCTGGTAGTTACATTAACTTTCTACTAACATAATCTTACTAATATTATTCAAAATGCTATGTAAACTTCAGCTTACTGTAGTATACATTTTTTTCTCTATTTTATGTGATAACCTATAGCTTACTGCAGTCAAGAATGGGAAGTACAGTCTATATACTGCCAAAATCAAGAGAAGATGCTTAGGCTAATGCATGCTTAAACAATAATTTTAAACATAGGAGCCATCAACAAAAATGCCAAAGATATAATCCAATCTCCATGCTTGAACAGTTAAAAAATCTTTAAAGAAAACATATATTTCTTGTAAAATTGTGAGTCTTTCTTTCCATTATGTTTGGTTTTACCAAGGACTCAAGCCTACAACAGGTTATGGTTTCCTCATGCATTGCAGCTAGAAGGAAACCTCCATGCCAAAACCTGCATTAGTAGAAAGAGATACAACAGGGAATGACTGTGCTGGAAATGCAGTATTTCTGATGGATTTTTATTGGCTTCAGTCACCACTCAACAAATACAAACCATTAATGAGAATTTTCAGTTTGCAAATGACTATAGACATGAACTTATCGAATATAAATTACTAATTATTAATTAATTAATATTAGACACAAGGTTTTAAAGGAGAGGAAATAAAAATGGGGAAAAAACGTTAAATTACATGCCTTAATGGTATACACAGAGACTATGCCAACAACTGACTTCAAATACCCATCCTTTGATTTTGCTTTCCCTTCTTTCATTCCTTCCCTTCAGAAAGGGATATGGTGCCAGGTCACTGTCACAGGAAATGTAAAGGAGCTGGACTGAAAAGAACAGACAAAACTGGACTATGGGTTCATCAATCATGTGGGCAATGCAAATGTAACCATATAACTCTATGGAAAAATAAATAAACCTGAGAAGTTTGGCTTAGAAAGCAAGGGATGTGAACCATCTACAAAAGAATAAATGCTGGGAACCTGCCCTATATGAAATACTTAGATTGAATTTATGCAAAGGCCTTGCAAACAAAGAGCCAGTCCTGTCTGCCTTGGACACAGAAAATGTGAGCACACACTGTGTGACAGACATTGCCCCACTGGCTATGCTGTGTCAGCACAGTCCTGGATCACATCCCTCCAAACAGGCAGCAGTCCTAACCCAGGTCACAGGGGATGGGGAAGGTGCTTCATTGCTGTCGTCACTAAAACTCAAATGAATATCAGGACATGTTCATTAGCCTTTTGGAAGGAAAGGCAGGTATCATTAGATTTTAGTGTTGCAAAATAAAGAAAGGAAAGGACAATTAGCCTTCCCTCATAAAACTCCTGACAAGGTCTGTGCAGTGTTTCCTCCTAAAAGATCTGCTATTCGTTGTGGGCTCCTTTTTAGGAGGATATATTTAATAGTGACAAAGTATTAAGATAGTAGCTTAATACATATGTTTGCCCTTTTTGCCATCGATTTATCAAATGAAAACACAATGAATATGTACACATGCATCTAGAAGTTATTGACTTTATGATTACTACTGGTGTTATTTATTATTATTATCAATACTACTTATTATTACTACAATTGCTACTACTTGTAGCCTAACTGAGCTTTGTTTACACTGATACTGCTTCTCTTTAAGTTTATCATTCTGATTTTCTGTCTGTGGAAAGGGGAAATGGGTGCAGTACTGATAGTGGTTAATGCATCTACCAGTGCTGTTTTACTCTCATTGTGTTTCCTGTGATACCAGTCCAGGGTTTGTGCCATTTTTCAGCTTGAAAAATGTGTTGCCTGGTAGATCTCACCACATAAGCCACAACCATCAACTTTTCTCAGCTTTGTCATTGAAAGCAATGCAATCCTGGCATAAGATCACAAACTGTGCTTAAGCAAAATAAATTCTTTGTGCTTCCATTTTCCATGGTTCTGGCCAAGAAAAGAGTTTTGTGAACTCTTCTTCTCTGCTCTGATTTAATTTTGGTACTTTATTTTTCCTTATTCCTGTAGCAATATTACTTTAAATTCTATTTTGTTACAGCTTTGGTCAACCTCACTCTGGATTATCTCTTTCTTCAGTCTTATGTTTGCTGTGCCCTAAATGCCCCTGTCAGCTTCCCTACAATAATAATTTCCCGTGCCATTTACACATACTCTTCACCTGTCAACTTTTTACATACTCCCTCTTGTAGTTACAACAAGTTCCCACAATATTTTATCCAGAAGCTTTTAGTAACTTTTCTCTTTGTTTTCTCTAAAAACTTTAGGTAAACACTGCTGCATGCCCACTCTTTAATTTGCAGTAAAATTGAGAAAAAGGTTAATTTGCTTCTGTCTTCTTGAGTCATAGATAATCCTGTTTCTAGCATAATTCCAAGACCCAAGGCTGAAGATAGAAAAACTAGAAGAAGAGCTGGACATGTGCTTCTAAAAACAGTGCATCACACTTTTAATTTGTATTGAAGGGGTGGATTATTTATTTCAACTTGTAAGATAAACCTCAGTGCTATGAAAAACTGAGTTAATTTATCTCCATACTAGCTGTGATGGCAACAACACTTTCTGATTGAAAGACAGGAAAAACCTAAATTCTGATCTCAGTGTAACCTCAAAGTAACTACACTGGCTTTCTGCTTAGTATACATAATTTGGCTTTCAATTTTTCATTAGTCACTTTATTTTTTTTTACTGAACAAAAAGCTCATATCAGTGTCCAAAATGACGATGAGAATCTGTGAATGGTAATGCTGTGGTGGAATAAGGGTACAAAAAAGAAGAACAAGGGCCAGATTTCCATCAGCTTTATAACCACTGTAAAAGTTGAAGTAAAGTGCTGAGAAGTGTTACAATTCTTCAAATAGCTTAAGCCAAGAACTTTTAAGAATAGATATCCAAAAATAGCATTGTAGTAAATTTTGTATAGAGTTTTAACAGACTTTCTGTTCACTCCTAACTACAGAAGAACATGTGTTATAATTATCCTCTAACTCTCTAAAAGGAAATGGGAAAATCTAAGCTACCAGCCACCAAAAGTGCAAACAGTATTTTTAGAGGCCCAAAATATAACTAAAGGAGAAGGAATGAAAGCAGCACTGGAAAGCAAGTATGCATAACTGAGTGATACTTTAACATTTTCTGGCATAACTGAGTGATAATTTAACATTTTCTGTCATAAGCAGTTTAGACAAGGTTAATTTCTGGGTATGCTGCATATAAGGAACATATACATCATTAAGCATCATCTGTCGCATGTGATGGAAACAACAAGCAGAACCACAGGCAGTATCTGGGGAAAGGATCAGCTTTCTTTAGGGGAGTCTTCAGCAAACTCGGCAAGAGTAATTTCAGGCACTGCCCTAAGCATTTCTTCCCATTAGAGGATCTAATAATGCACTATTGACACTTACCACACCTCTTTGCCACTTAAAGAAGTAGGTAAACCTACCAGTCCCTCTATCAACAGGTTGCAAAAACGGACCAGATCTTAAATGAATAGGAAGAATTGCAATATGAAGCGGCAGAAATCAGGTCAATTCCCCATCTTGTAGCTAATTTCCTTCTGCATAATACTGTTGTAATAACTTCTGCAGCACTGGTAGTTTTTGAATCTAAATTGATAGACCTGAAGAGAAACCAGTTGTGTTTCATCTGCCAATGTGTATTCTTAGTTCAAGCTGTCCACTTTAAAGGAGGCAATCAGAACCCAAAATCTGCCCAGCTGCTGCCAGGCAAAACCTGGAGGTCTGCCACATATGAGCACTGAAACTTGTCTTTGAAACTTCCGAAGTATGAAATGGCCTTCTGATAATTGAAATCAGTGCAAAACCATAGGCATTCTTGCATTTCTTTACTAAAAAAACGTAAAACCCTTGCAAATTCTTCAAGTGCTCTACCATATAAGCAGTGCCTTCAGCATATAATAGGTAAGAATCCATTATCAATGAATTGCAGATTGTGTAAAAGAGCTAACACTTTTGCAGCAGGCTGCATCTCTAGCAGGGAGATTTTGAAGCTGCTAAAGCAAGTTATTTTCAAAAAGCAGTCCCATGCTCTACAAGACCACATCCTCAGAGACACGCTTATACATTATACATCAAAGAGCTAATCAAGCCACTAATCTCATGCTGGGTTGCTTGCTTCCTGTTGAAAGCCTGAGTAAACAGCAGTATGTGCTCAGCTGCAGCCCATTAGCTGGAGTCCTAGACATTTCTCCAGCTTGAAGACCAAGTATTTAAGAGAACTGATAGTTGCTGTATAATTAAAAGATCGTTATTTTTAGGTTCTTTGCATAAACCTCCCTCTAAGATGAGGGCAGACGCCAGACACAGTGACAAAGATCATGCATTACCTAAACAAATATGATATGATAACCTCAACCAGAGACCTCACTGTTTGTTGTCAGTGAAGAATGAGGCACGTGGCTATTTAGCAGACCCAGTGGTTAAAAAGATTACGAGCTTTAAAGACTAATTTTCTACTTTACTTTTTGGAAGAATGGTAATCTGTGTAATGGGAGGAGGCTATTAACACAGGTAATCATCTTGGGTATTGTGTAGTGCAGAGAGAAAGGGATTCTCTGAACTGCCCTTTAAGAAAGCTAATTTTTCTTTTTGCTGTCTAGGAGTGGAGCCAAGAGAAGTTTAGATACCCAGGTTAAATGGCTAGGGCAAGCAAGTGTGATGACACCAAACAAATAAGCATACACAAAATCTTGAACCACAAAGGAGTGCAAATGTTCTGCCCATTAACCATGATCACTGGAGGCAATTTTGGTGGCCCTTAGCCCATTCTGTCAGCACAGCCAGAGCAAAATATCAAGGTGAAAATGTAGTCCCTAGGGTTTCTTGAACAAGAAATTTTGTTTAAAAAGCAAAAAAAAAGCCCTCAAACATTTCTCTGACCATGAATCACTCCAAACGTCTCAGGAGCACAAAGTTTTAAAATTAAACAGAAAAAAAATCATGTTAGTGCATTTATGGACGTTGGTGTTTGCTACTCTTATTAAGGGGCCAGAAGTAAAATTTCTATTGATGTTGGTGTGACATATTTGTGTCACATATTTAGAACTTATGTACAAAGATACAACCACGAAAGTCACACTACATGTAGCTACAAGAGCACATCAGCATACGCCCTACTCTTCAAAATGAAAGGATCATTGTGGGGACTTTTCAGGCAAAGTGATTTAATGTGTTCTGAATTCATTCTCTCGTTTAAATTGACTTAACTTTCCTCAACATGCTTATGTACACAAAACCAATGCTTCTTCAAATTTACCAAAAATAAAAATCTGCAATCAATTAACTCATCTTTCATTTTGTCATCACTTAGACAATGTAGTTGAATAGGTTTCTACAGTGCCTTGTTTCTCTGTCCCTTGAGGTCTGCCTACACCAGTATGGTTAGGAAAGTTAAGCTGAATTAACTAAACATGCAAAATAAAAATGCAGCAGTAAAAATGTATTAATCCCTAAGGCACATCCTCATTCACAAACAAAGCTGTCTTAATTCTTCACTACTTTAACTCTCAAAAGGAGCATCTAAACAAGGCTTTCGTGCACTTAAACTAATTCACATTCACTTAACACCTTTACTTAACATCCTCCTGTGACAAAGCAATGCCAGCAAAGTCTTTAGCATAAACACTTTCAGGAACAAAAACATCTTTACTGCCGTAGAGTTTATTTCACTTTGGGAGCAGGCTATTCTCAGAGCAGAACTCTTCTTTTGCCAGAGGAAGTCTCATCTCCATTCAGACAGGCTGGTGGTAAATGCTATTAAAAAAACAAACAACCACCTTCCTAATAGCAGACAAACATATTTAAGATATTTAAGATTATACATGAGTATATACAAAATGTAGGTGTATTATTTTCCTGCTTTACTCAATAACATATGGAAAAGTATTTCCAGATTCAATCTTTGAAACAGCAAGTATTTCTAGTTTTGCAATTTATTTTGTTTTTATAAATACTTTGAAACAATTTGCTAGTTATTAAATGTTATTGCCTTCTAGTGCTCATCACAATGTTAGACAATGCCTCTACTCAACACTTTTGTGTAACAATTCAAACATTTATCAGCTTCCAAAGTAGATATAGCTTCCTGTAGCCTAGTCTATTGTTCAGCCTTTCAATACAACTCGAGATATGCTGGGTATAGTACTCAGGTAAAATTACAGCCCTTTACTAGTGCATTTATAGTTCTTTCCACCGTGTTTTGAGAGCATTTGCTGTAGCCATCAGTATTAAATACTAGTAGAAACTCAGTCTTTTTTCTGATTTTTATTGCAAACATTTTCATTGAATTATGCAGGATACAGAATGCCAGAAGCAGACCTGGAAAGAGAAAAAAAAGTAAAACTAATAACTGGGATGGCAACAGCCCCACAGGAGAGGACAAAGGAAGCAGGGACAGAATAGACATAGCTGGAGGCAAACGGGATGAAAGAGGTGGAAGGATTCTCTGTCCAGTTTGTGCTTAGCCACAGGACGACTGCTGCCAAGGTGTCTTCTGGAAAGTTTGGTTTCCTTGTTCTGAAACAGTGGCTGATTTCTGAGCACTTTTGTTTTGCTGTTTATTTTGCATCCCACAGTGTCATCTGCCTTCCTGCCTCTTGCTGTGCTGCATCCGGCTGCCCCATCCTTCCTCACATGCTCATTGCTTTGCTACAGCCAGAGTCACAGACTGTGCCAGTCCCTGAGCCATGATTGCCACATGTTTGCTACAGACTCTTGTCCTTTATTACTCCCTGGCAAGCATCTCTTTGTAGCTTGGTGTCTTTTTACCCCTCTTCTCATTTACAAACCCAAATATATTCACAGTAGTGCATCCACTGGTCTTATTCTGTCTAAAATTCAATTCTTATTCTATGTGCCATTACAAGCAATTTAAATTAAAACAAAGTTTGCTTTAGAAGATATGCACGGCCCTGAGAACACCCATAGCCCTGGCCTACCTCTGTCCCCAAAGTTTCTGGTGCTCCTCCCACTCTGCCCAAGGTCCAGAATCCCATTTGAGCAGCTTAAGGCCACCAGTCCATGTCCCAGGGGTGTTGCAGCAGGGACAGCCTCCAGTTCCATTCCCATCCCTGCAGGTAGTTGGTCCTGTGAGTGCATGCCCCCTCCACATATGGCACAGCTCGTCTCCAGCCCTGCTTCTGGCCCCAGCCTCTTTAGTTTCCCTTGGATGACCCTGGTACCAGAGCAACATCTGTTGTCAATGGTCCCATCAGAACCAGCCAGGTGCACAGCCCCAGGGGAATGCACCCTTGGGGAGGGCATGTCCTGTCCTTGTGCAGTCACTTCAAATCAGTGCAGCTGATCCCTGACAGAAAGCAGTTTATTTTACAATAATTTCTTACTAAAACATAACTTTCTACTTGTAAAGCCAAAATGTCCAGTTTTCTCTTTAAGGTTTCTTTCTAGTCTGGCTAACTTTGTAAGAAATTTATCTCTGAAAGATATGTGCAGACATCTTCTATGCTCTGACCTTTTCTATTCTGAGCTCCTACTTCACCAAGAAAGGCAAAGGAAGTGGTGCTTAGAGGTAACAGATATGAAATCACAAAAATAGCTGGAAAGGGAAAGAAAGGAAAGAAGAGTCCTACAACAAAGAGTAGGATTTACATTTCAGACTTAATGGTTAGAGCTGTTTTCCTCTACAACCCTCTAAGAGGTGGAGAGCCCTTTCAGACAGGACTGACCTCTCCTAAGGACAGCCTAAGCAGCTGTCCAGAAGGAAATATCTGAAGATGTGATAATCCTCACAGGTCCTGGTCCTGCTTCTGGGCAGACTTCTTAGCTTGGGGCACAGAGCAGCATGTTTTTGCTGGGGGCTGGGCAGGCCCTAACTTCAAACCTCAATGGCAATACACAAAATTTCAAAATTTTTGAGTCAGCCATCCAAGCTCATTGATGTAACTTGGAAGGTCTGCCATGGGTGCTCATTGGTCAGAAGTAAGCTGACAATGTAATTTGAGATGCCAACCTTAATTCCTGCTGGGAATGGCTCCTGTCTGAATATTTACATTGGTTTTAGTTACATTCAAAAGATAGAAAAGAGTCTCTCTTAACATCAACAGAAACTATGGAGTGTGCAGGTTGCAGCTGTGAGTTACATAGAAGCTGCTCAGCAGAGCTCCTAAAAATGAGCCTAACACCCAGCTGGTCAGGGGATATGTCTGTATTTAGCATAAGATGGGATTCTTTACACAGGAGAACACACAGGTATATGAACAACTGGTGAAATCATGCCTTGACTTTGAAATGGTTCAGGTACTTTTACTATTATTACACCTATTTTACACATGGGTATGTTTGAGCCACCACAATAGAGTCAGTAATGGATGAGATTTCTCTACAGAACAAGAAAACAAAACCCAGAAGAGCTAAGACTGTAGATATATGAGCTATAAATTATATAAGCAAAATAAATATGAATAAAATAATATATTAAACTATGAGATATGCCAGAGGTTTATCATTATTTTAATATATAGCTCCGTTGCTTTCAAAAGGATAGCACCAGTGACAGGTTCAATTTCCTAGACACTGTTGTATTTGGCTCTTCATTTTATCTTGAAAGAACTTGAAACCTTAGCATATTTGAAAATTAAGTTAATCTCTGACTTTCTTGCAAAAGCTTGCAAAGAGTGTCTTCTGACACCTACTGCTTGCCTCTGTATTGTGGCAAGTATGAAAATACTTGAGCCACCTACATTCCCCTCTTGATGCTGTGATTCAAAGAATAAAACTCCTGTATATTGCTTGCTCAATGTGGACATGGCAGTGACCTTTGAAAACATTTAACAGGGTTGCAGTAGGAGCAAAGGCTATAAAATTAAATTTAATGAAAATTACTTTAACAGAACAGAACACTGTGTTATATTTGTGCTCAAGCATATT